ACACACACACACACAAACACACACACACATTGTTGGGGGTTTTCTGTCGTGGGCACATCTGCTAGTATTCAGTGGTTTGTTGAGGTTTACAGGTGAACCGTGTAAATGAACATTTTAATGACTTTACAATCCTACACACTGTTTTACTGGCAGCAGTGTTGAACCTGTCCACAACAGCACATGCGTATCTCCTGCTATTCTAGTACAGTGGTTTGTTTAAGGCGAGAATTATTACAAAAATAAACAGTATCTTGGTAAAAAATAAACAAAAAACGAAAAAAGAAAACACAGAATAAGCATATGGGTGACGTTCTTGGCCTCGGGTAGGCTTCAGCAAGTGAGTACACCACCTAATATTTTGAAAAGCTGTTACCAAGCCTTTCCTCTTTTCAACAATCAGCTGATTCGCGAGGACAGTCACTCTATTACAGCGAAGGATGTCGTCCCAACGATGCTGAAGGCTCAGAGCAGGCATATCAGACTCTTCCCCTCCTCGATCTCCTCCTGAACCTTATCGCTGGAGGTGGCGATCTCAGCCTGCGCGGACAGAACGGAGCATAGGAAGGTTGCCAGCGTTCCTCCTATCGCAGCGTAGAATGCCCAGCCGAGCGAGCACAGAGCCGGCCTGAAGGGTGAGGCCTCAGAGCCACAGTAGCTGATGACCTTCTCTGAACCCCAACCGGCAGGGTACAGCATGAGGCCCACCATCAGCAGCAGGCCTGGAGGGGAGGGGAGAGGAAGATACGGAAGGGGTTTAGTCACATTTGTGTAAACACCACGACCGAAAGTAATAACAGATCGTGGTGCAGCTGGTGGTGACTCAGCTCTGGTGAATATTTCTGTTTTTCAGTGTTTGATTTTGTGATGAGAGGAACTTGTGGACCAGTTTGAACGGCCCCTATAGTGATGTCACATAATGACAGATGACCCGCTCCAGCCAAACACACCTGTGGGAGCCTATTGTTGAGAGAAACACGCAGAGAGACACCCCAATTAGGGAACATGTAATGGAACGCCCGTGGACGTTGCCAACTTGTAAACTCAGATCCTTCACCTCGTAAAATCTATACGGAAATTCCCTCGAGCTTATGGCAAGATTATAAAAAACAGCGATGTGCTTGCATAGATGTGTAAACACGATAGACCATCTGCCAACATAGATATAACACCATTAAAATGAGCCTCGACAACAAATTAGATTTAGTTTAACTTCCTGAGTTTGTCATTTGTTCTTTCTGCTTTTTCTGAGCATAGAGGATGCCAAAAAAATGTACATGCATTTAATTTTGTTTCTGATTGTTTATGTTTAGGGGGAATCCTTGTATATACATCATATGAAATATGCTTACATATTCCATGATCAACACTTATTTGCAATAATTTCTGCAAAATAAGTTAAAAGTAAACAAACAAAAAGTCACATTTTGCACCTTTGCTCTCAAAGCTGGGGTTGGTAATCCTAGAAAAGTTACCAAAAGCAGGCAACAACCAATATGATCCATCCCCTCCCATTGGCTCTCTCGGCAGAGCTACGCCCCAAACATGAATGTTAACTGCCTGAAAACTGTAGACAGGTGCACCGAACAATCACTTCATTGAGACTGAAGTGCTGCGAGGGCCACCAGCATTTTTTTTCTTTTGCTGGGACATCACACTGAGAACCTTTGTAACACCTCTCTCACTCTATTATCCTTGCTCTCTGTCTACACTGTTGAATTAAGGCAAAACTCAAATAAAATAAATTACAATTTGAGTGAAACTGATCACCGAGAGAACAGTTTGTGTAGAAGATCTCACCTGCAATAGCCTGGAGCAGCCCACAGATGTTGAATATGCTCTTCTTCAGGATGCTCTGAAAACACAAGCTGAAGATGGAGACAAAGGCCACGCACCCCAGCACCAACGTCCCTGCAGCCAGAAACAACATGGCAGCCTTCCAGAAGCCACTGGCCACTTCCCCAAACGTCCCGGCGTAGGGCCCACAGCTCACCCCCCGCGCCCTGACCTGCAGGCAGCGGCTGTAGAGACCGAGCGACGGCCGGTACTCCCCAGAATCCACTCCCGCACCACTCACACTGAAGTCAGAGCGGGGGACACCCAGCAGCCAATCAGGACTCATGAAGGCGATGAGCTCAGCAAAGGCCACCACAATACTGAGCAGTGTCCAGAGCATGGAGCGGCACGTTACAATGACATGGCACATGACGCTGACCCCTCTTGAAACGGCAACAACCAGTGATTGAGAAAAATAAAACTTTTAAAGTCTGTTACAGCTCCTCAGAAGTGACGGAAATTCCTTTCCTTCCACAGAGAGAGGTCCAGTAGGTTCCCTGTTCAGATCCAGATGGGCTGCTGATCTTATCCTCTCCGAGCAGATGTTTTCCCTCCTCCACCGATTCTTTCTTCTTCGCTGTGCCCCTCTCCCTCTGTGACGCAAGATTCAGCTCTGGTCATCCTAAACAACTACAATGCACCAAAGCAGCTCCCCTCAGCCATGGTTTCATCTGAAGAGGAGACCTATACAAACACAGAGACATGATGAGGGTCAGAGACAAACAGTGACTCTACACATAAGAAGTGGGAGTAACCACTGTGTTGGGGGGGGGGGGCACTCTCTTTTCCCATCAGCTATGAATCATCCAGCTCCCTTGTGTTTGGTGGACACCCCTCAGAACGTTTGCCTCCTATAACACACTCATCCTCTCACCCATGATTCTTCCCACAACGTGCTACCTCAAATTCACTAATAGCTGTGAGTGCACCAGGAGCTACACTTCCAGATGATTCGAACACACACACACATACACACACACACGACTGCTAGAGATGCCAAAGTTTATACTGTCGTCATTTTCCTGGTGATTACTAGGTCTTTGTGCGTTTGATTGTATCTGTAAAATGACAGGAGCAGTGTGTGTTTTGCTGCCGAGCAGCTGTCAACACAGATCAGCGCAGAGCTCTGTTACAGCACGCCACATTTGACAGTAACGCACGGCACCACATGCCAGATCCTGACGACTGTGGCAAGCACACACACGACATCAAGCAGAGTCATCCAGTTCAACATTTCACTGTTGAGATACTAGTCTGGATACGTGAGATAAGTGACAGGGAGTGGTTATTGGCTGTTCTGGGACATTTCTCTTTTTGTTTTTGATGCTGCAGCAAAACTTTTTAAATTTTCTTTGTTCGTTATTCAACAGAATTCAAAAACTTGATTACAAATTTGTAACAGATGATACTTTCAGAGCAATCCTCGCAATCAAGTGTGTGTGTGTGTGTGTGTGTGTGTGTGTGTGTGTCAGTTTTCAAGTGTGTTTGTGTTTGAGCAAAGTGTGTATACATCCCAATCAAAGTGAGCATGATACTGTTGCTATGTTATGATTTAGTTGCCGTGACAACACTGGCCTCGACACAGCCGTGAGCGACAAGGTTTCTCAGACGCCCTCAGATGTCAGCGTCCAGCGTTATGATGCCGAGGAGAAAATATGCAGAGTTTAAATACAGCTTGGTTGTGTTTTCTTTGGGGGTCAGGAGGATGAATGTTGATCCACTTACACCCCCAGAATCCTGGTGCAGATCCCGATCACAGGTTCAGGTCCAGTCATTTTTTTCATGTTATTTACCTTTTACCACATATGACATTTTAATTAATTTCCCAGTGAGTATATCAAAGGATATTAGGGCATATTAAGGGAAGTGATGTGTCTGTATTTTAATCCGACTTGTTGTTGACTTGACTTGTTGAATGTAAGGGGACTGTTGGGCCTTGGTGGAGGACGGAGGTCTGTGAGTGCCAGTTTCTAGAATGTCATACAGCTGTTGAATTATTTAAATATAACTCCTAACTTTTGTTCTTTACTTCCGTTGTTGTAAGGTGGGAGCAGGTATCTCAAAATAAGTTAAGTCAGTTTTAAAAATAACTATGAATAAGTCTTAACCTGAGCCTTACACATCCATCACTTTACTTAAAAAGTTGGTGTATTAGTACAAAAGCAATAAAACTGATAAATGGGGGCTGTTCTATCAAATGATCACCCTAATTCTTGATGTATGTGTCACTTCATGGGTGATGAAAAGTTCAGCACAAGAACATTCGTTAAGAAGCGAGTCACTCTTGTTGCCCTGAGGGGAATGAGTGTGGTATTAGGTTGCACATTCCCTCGCCGCCAGGAAGGTAAATCATTGCACCACATCTGTAAGGAATGAACACTGATGCTGTACATTGTCTGATATGATCTGGAGTCAGTTCAAGGAAAAAACGCTTCAGACATTTTCCAGGCGACAAAATAAGTATTATCTCATGCAGCTAAAAGAGAACGACTGATTCATCCAACGTTGAGGTCAAATGGAAACCAGCAGAACTGGGTCACAATAACAAAGTCGCAGGCATGACAGCATCTGAGGTGCAGGTAGAGGATTTGCAACACTTGAGATGCGGGTGTGATTTAGTTCAGCAGGATTCCTGGATGTCTGCAGGTCACGGTTATGTTTTCAAACTGCTCAGCTGCAGTTTTTTTTCCCTCTGGTGGGAAATGTTTGTGCACAGCTTTGCTTTGTCTTGAGTTTGACAGCGATGTCTATCTGTAACCTCCGGGTTCTTCTCATTCCCTCATTCACTGCAGAATTTCAGGGGCACATGCATACCTGAAATTTTGCTTTCGACTCATTCTACATTTTTGCATCCTAATTAGAGATTACACAAACCCTCAGCCAAAATACACAGTCTGCATATAATTACCCACCTTGATGACTCACTGAGAGAAGTGTATTTCACCTGATCTGAGTTACAGCATAAAGGAGCTGCAGCAATTTTACTATTTATTATCAGTCAACAAAAGGAAATGACCAGAAAAAACAGGAAGTGAAGCAGTGTCCGTCCAACAGCTTCAGAGGCACAGTCACACATTACGAGGACGATCTCCCAAGATATCTCACTCCAATGTAAAGTGTCATCCCTCACTCATGTTTACACAAAACACACAAAAGCAATGTTTGAAGAAACATGTTTACATCTGAGAATCTACATCCAGTGGTTATAGTGACAGGGAGAAGGGAGAGAACTAAATAATCAGGTGTTTGAAGTGTGTTTATGTGCTTGGAGACAGTTTGGGGAGTGTCCTTTTCTATTATAGTCCTTGAGTTTATACCAGACCATGGCCATACTTTTTGTTCTCACAGTTTCAATTCTGCAAGCACTCACCCAGTTTCATTTGTGTTTTAGCATTATGTAAAGCTTCCATTACAAAACATAATAGACCATAGAATATGTTGTATATACTCTACACATGTCTGTTTGCATAGGTTTGTGTTTACAGCCACCCAGGCTACAGGTTCAGTCTCTCTGTGGTGGAGTTTTTTTTGTGGAGTCTTGTGCTTGCAGCTGATTATAGTTCGTCCAGGCCCGGGCACGGTGCTGTGCTGACTGTTAAGACTACAATGCCCACAAATTAGCAGCTCTGCCTCTTGAAACGACAGGGATGGAGCCTAAACATGCAGTCGGCAGGCACCTTGTGTGATCCGCCCCCTGCACTTACAGGAAATCTCCTCACTTATACCTCATCATGGTTCTCTGTAGTCTCACTAAAAGACTGCACTCAGAGAGAGATGGAAACTGGAGGAGGCTTCAGAGGGGAAAAGATAATTAGGAGAGTACTGAGAGGAAGTGTCTGGTAGAGGGGAGAATTTTCTTGACAATTTTAGCTGATACGTTGGAGGTTTTTAAGATTTACCAGTGGTAGCAACGTAAGGAACATTGTCACAATACCGCAATAATACTGAAAACAGTGAAACTGATGTCATGTGTCTTAAGCAAGATTTACCATATGTTTCAATCATCTGAGATTCTAAACTGCACAAGAGGTGATTTGTGTGTGTGTGTGTGTGTGTGTGTGTGTGTGTGTGTGTGTGTGTGTGTGTGTGTGTGTGTGTGTG